TATTAATTATATATATTAATATCCACACTGTATGGATAAAATTTATTTTTTAAAAGTATAAATGAAAAAAGTGTAAACATTTCAAACCTTCGTTTTCGAGTCTCTTCAGTACAATTCGTTAAACAATAATTACATGTGTTGAATTAACTATAAAAATTATTACGATATCAGTCATACACCAGTCAATTAATTTTAGCTTGACACGTCATCATATTTATTACATTTGACCACATTAATTCAAGTCTCGACTACGATTTTATGGTCGCATAAGTTTGACGACCTATCATTTTATTTCTAGATACCTAATTTTATGATGATTTTATGATGAACTATCATTTAACTACGCACCTCACTCTATTTGTGACAGCAGTTTACCGAATATATATATTTTTACTAATATAATTTTGTAGTTAACTCGACATTATAATGATTGTTTAATAATTAGTGCTGAAGAGAACTCAAAACGAACGGTCGAAACGTTTATATTTTTTTCATTTATATGTTTAAACAATAAATTTTTTGTACACCCGTCCATCCAGTATTGGCATTTTTATCGTATTCGATAAAATTTTAAGTCTTAAAATATAATACATATAAATTGATAAAATACTAATCTTAAAATACATGTTTATACAATAATCTTATGAACTCGTTACTACCAAACTACGTTCTAAAAATTTTGTTAAAATTAAAATTTATTAATATAAAAATATCCGACAATAATCCGACTGCTGCATTAAAACATACAAATAGAAAGGGGCTCATACTCATTAATTATCGTACAATTTTTTGTTTTATCAAATTTTCTATTTTATCATTAGAATAGTTTAATATATTTTTTAAAACTTCCGATGTATGCTGTCCCAATGTTGGTGGTGCTGATCGCACTATATTAGTAGCGTAGCTATATGTCACGGATGGTCCAACAAGTTTCACTTTGCCTGTAACTGGATGATCTACTTCTTGAACCAATTTGATGTATTTCACATGGGGGTCATCGAATACCTGGAAATTACAGGTGAAGAAAATAAAATTTATTAAATTGCAAAAGAGATAATGCATCGAGATCAGATTAGATTGGTTAATTCACCTCTCTCATAGTATTTATTGCTCCATAAGGAAAGGAAGCCCCTGTGAATTCTGCAGACCATTCCTGATTTGTTTTCTTTTTAATTACATCTCTAAGGATTTCAAGTAGTTCCGTTCTGTTTTGAACTCTAGCTATATTATTCTTAAACTTGTCATTAGTAGCAAGTTCTGGCATCTGTAATTTTGTGACTAATTCCAGAAATTGTGCATCGCTCCCTACTCCAATCGTCATGTATCCATCTTTCGTGGGAAAGGCTTCGTAAGGAACTATGCTTTCGTGTTCGGATCCCCATCTTGTTGCTTCCTTATTTCCATTTAAGTAATTAGAAGCAATGTTTATCAGGCTTGCGATTTGAGTCGACAAGAGATTACATTGTATCCATTGGCCTTTGTTGGTTTTCGATCTTTGTAGTAAGGATGCCATAATTGCTCCATGAGCGTACAGGCCTGTTGCCATATCAGTCATTGCTACGCCAACCTTGCACGGTGGTCCATCTTTCGGCCCGGTAATGTGCAAAAGGCCACCTAAGGAAGCAGCGACGACATCGTAACCGGGTCTATTTGCATATGGTCCACTAGATCCGTAACCAGTTAATGAGCAATAGATAAGACGTGGCGCTATCTTAGCCATATCTTCGTATCCTAAGCCCATGCTGCTCAGCTTTCCGGGCACATAATTTTCCATCAGGACGTCACTTGTCTGCGCCAGCTCGTAAATAATATCTTTCCCTTTCTTCAAATCGATACAAACGCTCTTCTTATTTCTGTTGACGCTCATGAAATAAGTCGACTCCTGTGTCCCTTGAAAGAACGGCGGGCCCCACTTGCGTGCCTCGTCCCCGCCGTCGGGTCGTTCGATCTTCAAGATCTCCGCACCGAGATCACCCAGGATCATTGTGCAGTAAGGACCGGCCACGATTCGCGTCAGATCCAGAACTCGTACTCCGTTCAACGGCGAACGATTCTCTTCGACGCCCGTGCAAAATTCACGTCCGCAACTTCTCAATTTGCCTTCCCTTGGAAAATATTTGTTGCTCGCCGTGCGGTTTCGCACGCTAATTGCAAGTATTTTACGCATCATATCGAAATTCTTAAAAACGAGGTTGACAACTGTTACGTACTGGGGTGCGACGTAATATATTTTAAAACGTAAACTAAACAGAGACACTGTCCTCTTGACTAAACATCATTCAGAGGTGAAAGCACTTGACCAAGAATACTGATTGTGAATTGTACTTTATTTGTTACATTTCAAGCTAGAATGTTTCTATTTCTTGAGAAAGAACTTTGTTAAATTGGAATTGTGATACGTGCGCGCGTCGTACCATATAAAAGTAATTAGTGTGTTTTTTTGAAGGAAGAGATTTCACTTATATACTTGTTCAAAAAATAAAAACAGGGAAACGAAAGCGCAATTTAAATATACCCAGTTACGACAGTGGATACTCCCACTTACGTTTCTTTCAATAATATTAAAAAGATATTGTACTAAGTATTGTTTGTTGGAAAAACTGTTTGACAGAATGAAGATTTTAAAAAACTTCAAGAGCGGTAAAAGTCTTTAAACCCTAAGCAGTTGCAGCTATACGTATCGAGTAATCGAACGCGTAACCTCGTCGTATCAACTGATATGACGCAAGGTCATCTTTCTTCTGCAATCCAAAGAGATTTCTTTCGACGACGCGAGTCGAACGTCGGACTGTCAAGATATGATAAGATGAGTAGTGGCGCTTATTTAAATGCCAATAAACAATTCGTAACGCGTCAAGGCCAATAACTTACGCTTAGCGACGCCTCGCGAGGTTTAGGACCCCACGAATTATATTTGACGAATTACCTGCGATCCGGAATCGGTGACGTCTGCTTCGGAGATCGTTTCCGTTTGAGTCTGCGAAGCCGTCTGCTCCGACATCGTTTTCTCCATGTGTTGCGATCGACGGCGCGATACCTTCGAGCAGTTCGAGCGCAAAGGCAAAGGCGGCGAAGGATGACGAGGGCGGGCACGATATCGCTATCGTTGCGTACGTAGCAGTACGTAGGTTACAAACGTAATCTACGCTCACCTATTCTCAGCTATGTTCAGCTACGTTACGCGGTAACGCGAACGGCGAACGTCGTCAACTCTCCCTACAGTCCTTATTGCTGCAGTGTTGCCACATTGATATCAGTTGATAGTGTTGATAGTGTTGATACTTTGACACTGTAGGTCTGTTGGCGTTGCTTGCACTTTTGGCACTCGACAGGGGTGATCCCCGATTGATCATGGCTCGATTGGACACCACCAATCACAGCGACCGGTGCTTAGGAGCTTTGTAGTCTCAAGCGCTGTGAGTGGCTCGTGTCCAACTGGGTGCCATCCCACTCGACATCTTCGCTTTCTCTCTTTTTAAAGCAAAATATGCATCTATCTCATTTTAAGTGCAAAAATATTTGGGGATTTCATGCAACGCGAACCTTATGGCTGCGGTCGATCTGGACGTTCACGCGCTTTAAGTGCTTGAAATCATTATTCTGTCTTTGTCGTTCATTAGACGTAAAATAAGAATAGAAGTACCGAAAAGTGCTGAAAGCGTCCAAATCGACCGCAGCCTTTTTTTTGCGCTCTTTTTTTGCTGTCTCGTTTTAACCAACGTTTCGACTTTTTTGTCAATTTTTTTAAAGCCTTCTAGATAAAAACTTTAATGAATTTCTTTGTTATAAAAGTTTCTATGATCTTTAATGCTTTAATTAAGCATTTAAATATTTAAAGCCGATTTCACCAATGCCGATTAAGCTTAATCGTGATTAACTGGCTACAATTGGTCGATTCTACTAAACAGCAAACGCAATTGGTTGGTCAGTCAACGGCCGATTAAACTGGCACTGGTGAAACTGGCCCTTAAGTCCATATTCAGAACGCTTTTATCTCTGAAATTAGGTATATAATATGCTTAACGTAAGGTATAGTATGTTAGCGCGCTAATATCGTAAGCGCGTTCTGAATACGAGCCTTTAAGTTACTTCTTCGAGGTATCTATGGAAAACGAGTATGTCTTCATGTGTAAATTCGTATAGTAACCATTTTATAATGTATTATTAATGTTTTTATGCATACATCTGATATTTTCTCTTTAACTCTCATATTTGTGTACATTTAATTTATTTAAGTGTGGAAAATATAACAATGCAGCTCTAAAGAATCGAAGAAATATTTATAATTTGAATTTAAAGTTTTATTTACAATTTAAAATTTTATAAAAACTGCTGTATTTTCATATATATTTGATTACTTAAATTCGTAAATTTACTATATATCATGGGACATACAAAGTAAACAAATTTCTGAATTTAAATTATAGATATCTTAAAAACGAGCTTTACATAGAATATCCGAATTTTGATATCAAAATCTAGAAAAAAAATGTCAGAAATTTCGAATAAAAACGTAATTCTATAAAAAATTTTTAATAAAAGATTTTTAATAAATCATATTTTCTGCAACGTAATAAATTCTTAAACGGATCTTATTTGTGCCTAATATTAACAGTGTTTTACATTTTGAAAATATATTAATAGACAAGATTGTTAAATTAATCAATTATTTGGATTGTATTTCCATGTTTTCAGAAAAATTAGAAAAAGCTATTTATATATGTATTGGAGAATGTAAAAAGAATAAATGTACAGAATGAATGTTGGATTATATAAATATATTCATTTCAAGAATATTGAGTGCCAGATGTTACAATCTCTATTTTTCAGCTATTAACTTTTAAAGATGCTGCTGTGAAAATCATCGTGATTTGTCAAAGAATTGCTCCATCTATTCCTACGTTATATTTAATCCAGCTGTAAAAAGAACAAGATATATTTAGCCGAGATATCTCGTTTTATTTCAACTGCGTTCAATTTCGTCGCTCATATGTTATGAGCTTTCTTCTATTTTTCTTTTCCAAGTAATGAGTGACAATAATAGAATGAAAGTTACAACGCATTGAAACCGAACGCAGCCTTTATAAAGTGGCAAAGAAATGGACCAATATTTTTTACCTTCTTGAAACCAATATCGGCTGCATATTCTCTGAAGCATTGTCGACAGATGTTCAGACCGTATTTGCGAATAAGCCCATGCCTATTTGCACAGGCGCGGCTGCAACAAAATCAATTTTATTCAAATTACACAATAAGTACATTTGTATCTAACATATACAATAAACATGCATAATAAATATTAACTTAATTCAAAATTAATATATCTATTCGTTTTATCTGTAATTATTTTATTTCCTACATTTAAAACATTTAGGAGAAAAGAGAGAAGGAACAATTTTAGTTCAGTAAATTGCAATTAAATTCATCTCTTCAACGTGGTTTTTTGAGGTTAGAATGTGTATTTAGATGTGTTTGCACAAGAGATGATTAATAATTAATAATACATACATATTACAATTACTTCAAATTTTAATGTCTCATAAAATTTTTTGCTTTAAATCAAGTGTTTTTGTGAGAAAAAATACTGTACAGTGATATTCATGATGACGCCACGCGATCGCTCTGTTCTTCATGTCAAGTATATAATATAAATAATCAAGTATAAATAATCGCTAATGAAGATTAGCGAGAACAAGAGAAACATGATACTAACCAGGATCTAGATCCTTGACCGTATTTTCGTGGATGTGAATACCAAATATTCTGGAAACCCATATTTGCTCGTGTTACTTCTTTTTTGCAACGCACTGCAATGAACCGACCAAAACCCACGAGTCCACAAACGTGAAAGACAGGAAAAGGAAATGAGCCAGGGGCCAGGGGTAGAAGACACTAGAAGATAGGAGGGCTTGCTATTGACTTCAGAATGCTCCAGAAACCTAACCTAATCTAAAGGTGCATTTACATGCAAGCTTCAAGCAGCGAAGGCAGCAACCAATCAACGAGGCGAATTTTACAGTGACGTACAAAATATTTGTTGCATCACTGCCCGTATCGCGTAGCTGATTGGTTGCCGCTTCCGATGTTTAAGGCGTCGTCTACAATACACGGAGTAAGAAGTAAGAGTAAGAAATTGACCAATCACAGTCGAATGTGAGAAGAATAATCGACTGTGATTGGTCAATTTCTTACTCTTACTTCTTACTCCGTGTATTGTAGACGACGCCTAACGCTTGACGCTTGCATGTGAATGCACCTTAAAAATTGTTCGCTTTGCCTTATCTTATCCTACGCGACTATCGACGCCGGCGTGCTCAATCACGTGATCAGTAATGAAACGAAGACGCTTATATTTGGAATGCATATAAATTTTCTACGTTTTCTTTTATTTAGACTGATACACAAGTTGTTATAAATACCAAATAATTGTTTATTATTATAATAAAAAGTATAAAAATTTTTTATATATTTTACTCTATAAAATATTTAATAAAATTTTATCATAGATCGAGCGAATATATCAATAACGTGGAAAGTTTATAAAATTACGTTTTTAAACAGAGCAAAAAAAAACATTAACACTAATTACAATAATATCAGTAACATAATATTTACGTAAACTTATATATTCAAAATATATAAATTATTTTTGTATTTATTTACATTTATATGTATATTATATGTAACTTAATATTATGTATATTAATTTTTTAAATTCACAAATATTATGGAATTTTATTTTCAAAAGAAACACAAGTATTTATTGCAATTTCTCATGAAAAAACAAAAAATTTTTATTATTATTAAACAGAAATCTTATTATAGTTATTGAAGAGAATTTTCTGTCGCTAGAAAACTCCGTCAATGGAAGTAATCATTAAATATTGTAAAAAATAATCATTAAATTTTTTCTCTTTTTTTTTTTAGATTTGAATTGTTTGTAAATCTTATGTAAAATTGCGTATTTATACATTTTATTCGATAACATATTTCTTTTTTTTTTTAAATTATCGCCAAAATATTCAATGACTTTATAAACATTTTGTATATAAGATTGATGACTATTTTATACAAACTTATCAAAATCTTAGATAAAATAATTAGAAGATTATAAAAAATATGAATTGACATTTACGCAACACAGTTCTCCGAGGGACATGCTGGCGACGTTCTTAGGATATAGAATATTCTCTAGACGTCCTTGGAATATCTCTTAGAGAACTGTTGTGTGGAGAAATATAAAAAAATATAAGTAAGATGCAACTATGATTTTAAGCGTTTTACTGCATTTTAATAAGATACAAAAAATAATTACCAATTATATCTATAAATTAGTAATAAATCAAAATTTATAAAATTAATGTTAAAATCAATTATGCTTCAACATTATTAATTTGAAAGTGTTTATTTCTAATAATTTTTACGATGACCGTTGTAATTCATGTCACAGATTGTAGTCACGTAAAGAGAAACTGGTTTTTCAATGGTTCTCCCACGTGGACGATGGAAGGCGGTTGGCGAAGCGGGGATGAGTTACAACGGTACATACTTTCACATGTGAATGATGTGCATTTCATTGTTCACAAGTAAATTTCTTGTGGACTAGACAGATGGATTAATTTTAAAGTTCCCACTTAAATCAAAATAATATTATGTCAGATGAAAAGAAACTTGGAAAAGAACAAGATAAAAAGGTACGAAGTGCAATAACTGTTTAGATTTATTTTCATTAGTGACGAATTGATATATAAATCAGTATTGTAGACAGAAGAAAGAACAGTAATTAAAAGTATAAATCAATTTCTTTTTATTTAAAGATATTTTTAGTAAAAGTTTACTCAAATCATTAGTAGAATAAAGTACTAAAAATTTCGTTTCTCTCACACTTTATTTTTAATTAAATTTAAAAAAGTTCTAACCAGATTCGAGACAATGTTGTGTTACAGAAAGCACCATGTTTGAAGCACCATGTAATGAAGAAACAAATTATGAATTTGAAGATGAAGACAGTGCTGAAGATTATTTTATCTTCTGTAGTGGGTCCTCTGATTCTGTATGGCGTATTTTTCATATATCTACGTTATCAAACGCATTTGAGATATCTATTCGAGAGACCGATCATAGTAAACGAAGCTAGACCAAAGTTTTGGATCTACGCCAAGAGCAATGACACCGGCTACCTGAAGCATGTGTATTCAGTACTCCAACGACTCGGTTTCCAAGAAGGTAATAATAAATCCGATTGGGATCTGTTGTGGGCTCACGATTATCCTTTTCGTGTGTTGTCCGCGAGCTTAAATAAATTGCAACAACATCAGCGAGTCAATCACTTCCCTGGTTGCGGCTACATCACGAATAAAGTGGATTTGTCGACGTCGCATGGCGGTCGGTATATCCCAGCAGCGTTCAAGATGCCTGAAGATCAGCAAGCTTTCATCGATTATGCCAAATTGAATCCCGCAAAGCTGTTCGTACAGAAGTCGAACGATCATCGTGGTATCCGTATTCGCGACAGCAGCGATACAAATTTCACTGCCGGCACATTCGTCCAGGAGTTTATCGAGCGGCCGTTCCTCGTGGATGGCTACAAGTTCGATATTGGCGTGTACACCGTCATCACTTCTGTGGATCCGCTGCGAGTGTACGTTTACAAGGGCGATGTACTGTTCCGCTTCTGTCCAATCGAGTACTATCCGTTTGATCCGGAGATTCTGGATAAATATGTGGTTGGCGATGATTATCTGCCGATTTGGAACGTGCCATCCTTGAAGAAATACTATGTTGAACTCGGGTATTCGATGAAGGACTCATTCGATGCATATGTCAGGGACCAAGGAAAAAATCCGACAGAAATGTGGAACCGAGCGTATGACGCTATTCGGGAAGTTGCTCTGATGAAGGAGACGCAAATCAGAGAAGTTTCCAAGCGCTTCGGCAATGGCAGAAATTTCTTCGAGCTTGTAAGATTCGACTTGGCTCTTGACGAGGATCTGAATGTTTACATGATGGAAGCAAACATGTCGCCGAATCTGTCTTCCGCGCATTATCCTCCGAATCAGTTATTATATGAGCAAGTCATATTCAATACGTTTGCGTTGGTTGGTATCGCCAACAGAATCAGAAAAGAATCCTTGAGAATAAGGTAAATATATAAAAAAAAACATCAAGATTCCTAGAAGTATATAGCTATTTCTAGAAATGTACCTCTACCCATCTAAAAATAAATATATAAACAAAATTATTTACATAAAAAAAGATATTTTATTTATTGATATATTAATATTATTATTATAGAAATAAAAAGGAGGAAGAGATGGAAATAGCGAATAAAAATATCGTAGTGCTACCGGAACTCTGTAAAAAATGTGATAATGACTGCTTTCGCATAGAGTGTCAATTGTGCCGACCGTGTTTCACATCAGAAATAAAACTCATTTTATCGCAGAGTTATCTCGAGCATCAAAATCGAATGGATTTTCAAAGAATTTTTCCACCATCTATAGTAAGTCTTTTTCGCTTAACTAATTGGTTAGATTGTAATTGAATAAATGTTTTACAGACAAGGGACATGATGTTGAACAACTACACACTAAGAAATCAATTACTTATTAGATGGTACCAAGGAAAATGCAAATTAGACAAGACATGGTGCAGTTGATCATATGATAAAATCGCGTAAGTCCTATGTAATATTTATTTCAGATATATGAAACTGTACATGTATATAATGTATAAATGAGTAAGAGTGTATCCCTATGAAAATTGTTTAACACGTACATGTAAGAGTGCGTTCAGATACACCTTAAAATGAAAACGCGCGAATGTTAATTTAATAATATTAGTATTATTCTATTTGTACATCGTACATTTAGAATGTAAAAAATCATAAAAACTTAGTGCAATAAAATTATATGTCGGAGCAGCGTATTATATACTTAATTACGGAGAACATACTTTATATTCGCGTAATATATCAAATATATACAAAAAGTTTCACATATGAATGTAGGATTACAAAAAATTGTAAGATTATTTGTTCTCTGTCGACGAAGTTCCTTTAGTGTTACGACCTTTTTTGACTTTTGATTCAGGCGCATTTGGATTAACACCTTTATAAAAATCTTGGAGCAACCTCAGGGCTTCCTCTCCTTTTACGTTTCCTTGTATCATTATTTTTGAATCGTAAAACTTTGGTACTTCGAGAACACTGATACAGCCACCAAATCGATCGTTCGCACAGCCATATACAATACTGCGTACTTGTACTTGAAGTAATGCCGACATACACATTATGCACGGCTCTACCGTGACAATTACATCTAGATTACGAAACACCATTTCGTAGTCCATGCATTTCTCCTTGCAGAACTTTAAGACTTGGTCGATGCAATTTATCTCGGCATGACGAGTTGCATTACAAGTTTCATTTACTGTATTATTGCCTGTCGCAATTATTTGATTGTTATATATAAATAAACAACCAACAGGGACTTCACCGGCTTTTAAAGATTCCTCAGCTTTTTGTAATGCAACGTCCATCCATGCCGAAGTATCCATAATAAATACTATTAATTATTGTATTATATATTGGCGAGATATTTTTAAAATCAATATTAAAAACAATTTTCTATAAAATTATTAACTCTTTCGTGATTTATTTTTTATAAGAAATGTCATCTTAAAATAAAAAAAAAAAAGAATGCTAGCTGATGTTTATATCTTTAAAAATAATAGTATCTTACGCAAAAGAAAAATTAGACAGTAGTACTTGCTTTGTCAAAATATTTAAGTAATTCCAACTCATTTAGCCGCTGCTTAGCCGTTTCTTTCCAATTTTGATTACCTAATGCTCTTGGACTGGGATGTCGCAGAACCATCACCTGAAAAGGCCATTGTACAAGTTAACATAAATCTTGTATTATATATGTTATTACTATTAAAATATTGCAGTATATTACCTTTACTGGAAGACCTCCTGTTTGGACTGCAATCTGTGCTCTTTTTTCGGCGTAGTTGCCAATGCCAATAACTATCTCTACCTTCAGAAGTTGTATTATATCTGTCAGGGATTTGTCGCAAGCCTCATGTAAAATCTTTTGTCCGTCACCCTGAAAAGTACAGAATAGTTCAGCATAAGAAGAAAGGAATATAACAGGATAAATATTGCCTTTATTTCCGCCGGTGTGATGTTTCGAGCTTTGCCATCCATAAATGCCAGTGGGCAATAATTGTGCATGTATGCATATCGGAAAAAGTTCTCGGGATTTCCACATAGTTCTTGAAAGAGGCCCCACAATCTTAATCCGCTAACTTCACTGCGTGTACATTGGAATCCTATCACTTTTCGGTCGGGATGTTCTTTTGAGGGTTTGCCAATAGGACCAGAGATTTTGAGCCAATCTCGCACCATATTTATTTCTCCAAATGGCACACCAGTTTGTGACATACCCCATGGTCCAGGATTCATACCAACGAACAAGATCTTTTTTATGCCAGTACAATACTTGTGTACATACATGGCATGTGTTTCAGATGCATATTCGAGTGGATTGTAAATGTATTGTATGAGTGATGGAAAAATAATATCTTTCAATTTGGTACAAAGCTCTTGTTCAATTGATAACAATCTATCAGAGATCAATGTAGATATTGTAGAAGCATGCTCAGAGGTATCTTCTTTTGCTTTCGTAACAGGTTCAGACATGGTAGATGTATCTTCCTTTATATCTGTATTTTTAATTCCTAAATTCGTTTGTATTTGTGTCATATAGTCTACGACGTTTGAATTTGAACGTTTGAGTTTTTTTTCGCTTGACAAATCATCACTTTTTGCTCTAGTTCTCTTTGCATGAGACATAATTACTTTTCGAGAGTCCGATATACGTAGAAACTCAAGAAAGAATTACTTAAATATTATTTTGAAATAATTATATTCAAGTTATATGTATAATAAATGGCTGAATTAATTAATGTGTCAGTAATGTAAAGATATATAAAACACAATTCCAATATATTTTCAAGGTGTGGATGTTATATCAATAAAAAAACTGTGTTCAACCTTCGAGATAACAGTAACTGCACAATATTTTTTGTAATTCCTCTGTTTCCTCTTATCGAATGAACTGATAAACATCATCAATTACTGTAAGTGCAGAGTCAGCTAAAATCCAGAAACCGCACTTGTGTACAATAATGTAGTTTTAATAGATCTATCTCTTTCTCTTTCGTTGTTTCGTTCAAAATCTAGGAAACGTCCCCGAGAATATTCCGTTACGCATAGATATAAAATGGAATCCTCTACAGTTTACTGGGTCTATCGGTCTACTCACCACCGTTATCCCACTTATGCCATCAATTGTATTTGCACACATGGAATAAACACGCTGCAGTTGCACTTTTTAGATCTCGTTTTTTTCCCACTTCTTTGCAAAATTGAGCAGAATTACATACATTCGTCTCGGTTTTGAGTGTAGAAAGTGTATAAAGATGCAATTAAAAAGAGAAACGGGACACACCACGTGCGTTTAGCTAACATAACCTAACTTAACCTACACGCACAATACACTGATGATCGGAGCAATTCGAGCAATTGAAGTTTAGAAATCGTGGAATTCACTCCCACGCATCGGATGCACTATATGCTCGATTATTATGTAATATGATTATATGATTATATCATTACGTAGATATGGTTATTTTATATTGACCGATCCGAAAAATAAAATCGATATCTGATGAGGGATCCTTATATCGCAATGTTTTTTAAAATGCTAAATTGACTAACTTTTTGCGAATAAGAGATGCCATTAATATGTGATCGTGCGAATTTGTTTGAGTAGGTATAAAAATTACATTCACATACATAAGATATGAAATTTTGTGTACTGTGGTCTGTACATGTATGATGTGCATGCCAGAAATTGCTAGAAATCGTCGGAAATGGCGTCCGATAGACGAAGCACTCTGAAACGAAAATTGATTGATACTGGAAGCGACTCGGACAATGAAACAGAAAGTGAGTGTGTGTGCAATTTTGTATGATGTAGTATATTGTTGATTTAAATGAATACGCCTTCTAGATACATAACGATTTTAATGAAATGCAAATAAGTGCAGTTTGAGGTTAAGTGATGTTTCCCATGATCTTTTCTTGCCCTTACATGAATTTTTACAATAATACATTTACGGGCACTGATATGTAATTGAGAAAGTAAAACGAAAAAGTAAAATAATCTCATGTTCACTCTTTTTGCTTATCACCTAAAACATAACCTATAATATTATTATCTCATAGGCGTTTGTTTTTCTTATTACAGAGACTGCAAAGCATATAAAAACGAAATCAGAGGCACCGCGATTGTGTCCATATTTGGACACGATTAATCGACAATTTTTGGATTTTGATTTTGAAAAATTGTGTTCTGTATCATTATCTAGGATTAACGTGTATGCTTGTCTGGTTTGCGGCAAATATTTCCAAGGCAGAGGCACTAATACTCATGCTTACACACATAGCGTGGCAGAGAGTCATCACGTTTTTCTTAATTTGCACACGCTCAAATTTTATTGTTTACCAGATAATTACGAGATAGTAGGTAGGTAAATTTATTCTTTATGTCTATCTTCAGCAAGTAACATTTTATATGTTTATTAGATTCGTCTCTGGATGATATTAAATATGTGTTAAATCCAACTTTCGATAAAATGCAAATAGCTCAACTAGACAAGAGCGATAAACAGTCTAGAGCAATCGATGGCTCTATGTATTCACCAGGAATAGTAGGAATGAATAACATAAAAGCAAATGATTACTGCAATGTCATTTTACAAGTAATGTAATTTATAATTATTAATTTTAAATAAATAACTATTAATAACAACGTTCTATGCATTTTGTCATCTTAATATTTTTTTGTAGGCGCTTTCGCATGTTACACCTTTGAGAGATTTCTTTTTAAGAGAATCCAACTATGCTCATGTAAGGAGACCACCTGGTGATTCATCGTATCTTTTGGTACAAAGATTTGGAGAACTTATGCGTAAATTATGGAACCCACGTAATTTTAAAGCGCACGTAAGCCCACACGAAATGCTGCAGGCGGTAGTCTTGTGGAGCAAGAAAAGGTTTCAGTTCACAGAGCAAGGTGTGTAACAGATTTCATCGACTACTTGTATTTTTTTTTTACGTGATTAAAATAGTGTTTTTACCAATAAGTGATTGTGTTTAGGTGATCCTGTGGATTTTTTATCATGGTTCTTAAATGCTCTCCATCTGGCGTTAAACGGTACAAAAAAGCGTGATTCTAGCATCATTTATAAAACATTTTTGGGTCATATGCGAATATATACGCGAAAAATACCACCATTGGAATTAGAGGAGAGCCAAAGAAGTGAATTGTTACACACGGTGGAGTATGGTGAAACTGTGACGGAAAGTCCATTTTTATATCTCACTTGCGACCTTCCGCCACCTCCACTATTTAAAGATCAATTTACAGAGAATATTATTCCACAGGTTGATATTTTGTTACACGTATATAATATTGATCACATAAATGGAATGTAGCAAAGAAATAAAAAAAACGTCTCTTTTATTCATCCAGGTAAATCTGTATACGCTCCTGAACAAATTTAATGCCGTCACTGAGAAAGAATATAAAACTTACAAGGAAAATTTCATGAAAAGATTTGAGATTACCGAATTGCCACCGTATCTCATACTTTACATAAAAGTAAGTCTTGTATCTATTATTGGTGTCGATATATTTTGTATTATTTGATAATTTTGTATTGATTTTAGAGATTCACAAAAAATACATTCTTTGTTGAAAAAAATCCAACAATTGTGAATTTTCCTGTTAAGTGAGTATATAATATTTTCTCGTTTCATATACGACTGTATATTAAAAGATTTATTAACGATATTTAATTATATATCTTGTGTTGGCAGAAATGTCGATTTTGGAGATATTTTAACATCGGAAGTAAAAGCCAAGCATCCATATACAACGTATGACTTAGTAGCGAATATAGTACACGATGGTGAACCTGGACAAGGTACATATAGAGTTCATATTTTGCATAAAGCCACAGGCCAATGGTACGAATTGCAAGATTTGCACGTCACACAAATTTTACCCCAAATGATCACTCTTACCGAAGCATATGTACAGGTGAGTAAAGAGAAACAGTACTTATTTCTTTGCAGTTTGCGATATTTAGATAATCACTATGTTCTTTTTTTATAGATTTATGAATTAAGGAAAGACACGCACATAGAAAACGGAGAAAATAAAAAAGCTATGTGATACGCTTGAATAAAAGCTCGGAAATATGAAAATAAAAAAGTTTACATTTTATCTACATAGACTTTGTCTTAATTTTCTGATATTTCCGTAATAAGCTTATGATATTTTTCATAAGCTTTTATTTAATTTAATTTTTCTTCCGTTTCCATTTCAGATAGAAATTATTTTTGACGAGTTTCTTTACTTATTTATAAGAATTTTTATTAATAGATTTTTTAAATTTATTAAAAATTAAATTACTATATATGGTTAGTTTTTTTATGTTAAAAATATTTTGTTATCAATTTTATCACACAACAAAGAA